ATCCTTCTCATGACTAATGCATATTTAAACCTATCTATAATGAGGAAGAAAAAGATCATATCTTCAACTTAGAGCGCATGAGGATACTTCGATTGTAGGTAGGTCATCCAATTTTCAGTTTAAATCACCCTTCTTTGATCCTGTAGTTGGTTTGATCGATTGTAGGTGTTCTGATTTTAGATGATGAACCTTTGAAAGAAGTTGAGGAAATTAGGACATTTCTCTTGGAGATAATAAGGAGAGATTACTTCTTGAAAATGATGATGAAACCTTGGATGGCAAGGTGAACAAGGAAACTCTATGGGAAGAAGACGATGGCCATGGTGATGGTTTGTTACGAGAGTTTGGGGTGAGAGTTTTGTGCAGAATCGACAGTATGGACTCTGCATATAATGTGTTTAATGAGGTGTATGGTGATGGCGTAGAGAACTAATAAACATCAAGGATTTTTATGAAAGTCTTGGGCGAGAGTTTTTTTGCGAATTCAAGGGTTACGGACACTGCATATGAAGTGTTCAATGAGGTGTATGGTGATGGTGAAGGGAACTAGGAAACTTCAGGGTTTGTTATGAAAGTCTTGGGTAACACTTTTGGTGCGAATTGAAGGGGTATGGACTTTGCATACAACGTGTTCAATGAGGTGTATACTTAAAATGAGGGTTGATGGGTTTTCAAGCTTGTTCAGGATTCTTAAAGTTGCAAAGGAATATTCTAGGGGATTAGAGCACATTGGAATCAATTTGGCGTAGATGAGTCATGATGGATCTTTAACCCAATAACCTTGGCCCTAAATTCAAAGAGAAAGGAAGTTGTTGAGGATGTCGAAGGTAACAAGGAAGAAGACTTGGTATCCAATTTTCAATTTACATATCAAGATCCTTTTCTTGAGGATTCTTTTTACCACCTAGACTATTGGAGCCAACAAGGAAGAAGGTTGAATCGTGGGCTTGGCAACAAATTCATTTCAGCACACTTCAAAACTCGATGAGTTTTCCCCAACCAAGGGAGTTTGATGCAAGGCAAGATGACGCTTATTTTTTAATTTTTATTTAAATTTTAGGTATGTATTTTTAAGACTCTATAGTGTTACTTTTCTAGTTTTTAAGCGATTTTATGTTTTTTTTTTGGGAAAATTTCGTATAGGACCCAAATTCCTCATATTATTTCATGGTAGACCCTCTTTCCGTTTTTCTTTCAAGCGGCATAAGAAAATCCATAAGGATTTCACCATACCCCCTCATCTCTTATCTCCCTCTTTTATTGACTTTTGACTATAAAAATTAGCCCCAACAAATCTTTTTATACCATTTCATCCCAAAAACGTTTTTAACCCTCTTTTTCCCTTTCCACCAATTAAAAAAGTTTTTGGGTTGAAATGGTA